GGCTTTGTTATGAAAATGGAATTGGAGTTGAAAAGGATAGAAATAAGGCATTTATTTATTATCAAAAATCTGCTGATATGGGTAATTCTAGTGGAATGAATAGGCTTGGGCTTTGTTATGAAAATGGAATTGGAGTTGAAAAGGATAGAAATAAGGCATTTATTTATTATCAAAAATCTGCTGATTTGGGAAATTTTAATGGAATGTACAATCTCGGAGATTGTTATCAAAATGAAATTGGAGTTGAAAAGGATAGAAATAAGGCATTTATTTATTATCAAAAATCTGCTGATTTGGGAAATTCTAGTGGAACGAATAGGCTTGGGTTTTGTTATGAAAATGGAATTGGAGTTGAAAAGGATAGAAATAAGGCATTTATTTACTATCAAAAATCCGCTGATATGGGTAATTCTAGTGGAATGAACAATCTCGGATATTGTTATGAAAACGGAATTGGAGTAGAAAAGGATAGAAATAAAGCATTTATTTGTTATCAAAAATCCGCTGATATGGATAATTCTAGTGGAATGTACAATCTCGGAGATTGTTACAAAAAAGCACTTGGAGTTGAAAAGGATAAAAATAAGGCATTCATTTATTATCAAAAATTTGCCGAAATGGGTGACTCTTATGGAGTGGTTCAACTTGCATGGTGTTATCTATGTGGATTTGGAGTTGAAATTGATAATTATAAAGCGCTTGCTTATTTTCAAAAATCTGCTGATATGGGAGAGGCTTTTGGAATGAACTATCTTGGATATTGTTATCGAAACGGAATTGGAACTACAAGAGATTTACAGAAAGCAACTTTTTGGTATAAAAAGTAAAATTAAATAATTTTTTTTTTGTTACTTTATTTATTATATTTTTTATAACGTGTAAATTTAAATACTTTTATTAGAGGAAAAATCAAATTATCAGGTAATCTATTTAAGGTCTTTGCAGTAAAAAAGGATCGAACCTCAAATATTTGTTTTGATCTGTTAATCAAAAACTTCGTCTATTTGATTGGTTAAGGCTATTATTGGGTATTTTCGCGATTGATACCTTTAATTAAAGTTTTGAGGTTCGATTCTTGATTTCTATTTTCATGGTTTTAAGTTTAATAAATGAATTTTAGATACAAAAGATATACCGTTTGATGATTATAATATTGACAATAATATAAAACAAATTTTTGACGAAAATAAAGATACATTACTGTGGGTTTCTTATAGCGAGTTCAAATATGCTCAAAAGATAGGGCAAGGAGGGTTTGCAACAGTATATAAAGCTGCATAGTATAATCAGGATTATAATGCACATATGGAAGTAGCGCTTAAATCATTTCATAAGTTAAAATATTTTTATGAAGAAGTAATTGAACTTATTTTGCCCTTTAAGAATGACATCGTTTTAATATTTATATTAACATATTTTTAATTTACAGTTAAGGGCATATTGCGATATTAATTGTGAAAATCCTTTATTTTTACAATGTTATGGAATATCAAAGGATTACAATTCTAAAAATTATATCCTTGTTTTAAAACTCGCAGAGTTAGGTTCTTTGCGTGAAAACCTTCACCAGATATCGGAATTGAAACGGGAAGACAAATTAAATTTACTAAATTGCATTGCATATGATCTTCAAACAATCCATTCACAAAACATTATTCACCGAGATTTACATAGTGGTAATATTTTGCAAGACACTCTGCATAGCGCATATGTTGCAGATTTAGGGCTTTCTATATCATCTGAGATAGTACTAAAGGCAGGGTCTGTTGGAGTTTATGGAGTTTTGCCATATATGGCTCCAGAAGTTTTAATGAAAGGAAAATATTCAACATTATCAGATGTTTATTCATTTGGTATAATAATGTGGGAAATCTTATATGGGAAATCAGTTTCTTATGACCAACCAATTGGACCAAAACTTCAAATAGAAATATGTGAAGATAACTTACGGCCTAAAATTTTAGAAAATACACCACATTGTTATGCAAATTTAATGAAAGAATGCTGGAACAAAGAACCAGAAAAACGACCATCAGCAGAGAAACTTTGTGAAATTTTTACGAAATGGCAAAGTGATAAAAATATTCTACTTGAGCTATCTAATCCTGAAAAAATTAAAAGTAACGATTTGCAAGAATATTCTAAAACAGATTATAGAAGTAAACTTATTAACTACACTACGTCGTATTATCTAAATTATCAAGGTAAATAATTAGGGTTCTGCGACTGCCGGACACGGACTATTACGGCCAGTGTTGGAATCTGTTTTGGGATTTATGGTCTCATGAGAACATATTTATTTACTCAGAAATTTATTTATGTTCTCAATATCTCATCAGTAAAATTTATTTATACCCCTATTTTTTGAATTTCTTATTTTGGAAAATATCGGACATTTATTCAAATTTTTGTCACAACCCTTTTCGTCTTTTATGTTTCTTCGTTTTCGGATAATTTCGGAATTTTCTCGATTCTAATTTTATTTTAATATGACATCATGCTATTATAATACTTATAACACACTTATATATAGAACATATTTTTCGAGCATTTATGTTCTCAAAATTTTTTCATAAAGAACATTTACACAATATTAAATGTTCTCAAATTTAAAGGTATGTTCTCATGAGAACGTGAGAACCTAAGATTTCCAACACGGATTACGGCATAATATCCATGCCCGTGCCTGACACAATGTTTTAATAGTAATGTGTCCGATATTTCAGAATCTATAAATAAATGTCAGTATTTGAAAATCTTTATTCATGAAGATTGCAACCAATAATGCTGTTTATTAACTTCATTTACAGATAGTGGGTTAAATAAACTATCGATACCGTTGGACAAGTCAGTTTGAAATGTTATTGAACTATAATGCGTAATAGGTTTATTTTATAATCGAACAAAAATAAGACTCAATAAAGTTTTTTTACTTCGATTGTATTTTATGGATAGCTTAGTATTTATTTTTATTTGTTGTTTAATTTTAACAGATAAGATATATACATTATGAAATTTAATGCATTATTTCAGTCTCAATGTTTACTACTTTTTATTTAGAAAAATTTTCAACTTTCAAAGACTTTTGACCTTTATTAAATTCTCCTTTCTATCATTTCCTACTTTTATTTATGGTTTGTCCTTTAACAAGAAGGATTTTTGATTTCTCTAGGTTTTATTTTCGTCTTTGCCGGTTTGCAAAAAGGCTTAACAATCGTATGCAGCATCACTATTATTTTATTCATGCTAAAATTAAGTATAATTATTTGATATTTAATTTTAAATAAAATACGTATTTATTTCAAAAACCGATACCTATAAGTCCTATCTTTTTTTTTTTCTTTAAGCGTATACTTATCTAAATAACTGATTACAGGCAGATGTTTATCAAAAGAAATAAAAAATAAAATAAAGAAAAAATAAAAACAAAAATAAAATAAATAGCTAATTTTATCCGTTAGGGATTACTTTGCTTGAACATGGTACATTTTTCATTAACAAAAAAAGGTCTGCTTTATATATCAAAATATTACTTGATAACAAATTCCCGGTTTCCTTATTTGCAAGTTCACATATTAATATAAATTTGAGTATTTATTTATGTCGCAGCGATTTCGGAGCTTTCGCCTTTCTACGCATTTATACATCTGAGAATAAGATTCCTATAAATTTAAATATACAGTTTTTGGGTAAAAATCACCAAAAATTGGCCGAAATTATATCTACAGTAGTGCCATTTATTGGGTTTTTGACTCAAATCCAAACAAATGACGTAAATACAGCGTATTAATATTAGGAAAAAAAAAAAAGCATTAGCTGTTAGTTTATAAAAAAAGTTGTTTATGGCAATGAGTATAAGTTTAAATTATCTACGTAATTACTAAATAATCAAATGGCCGGTGAGAGTTTTAGTCAAAAAACGTAAGTAGTATATATTTTTTTTGATACATTTTATTTCTCTCATTTATCATATACAGTAATAACTATCATTTAATCATTTAAGTAATTGTAAGGGTATTGAATCTTAAGGCGTGATCATAGTTAATTCTGCTTGAAGTCTTATTTTCCTTCTTTCTTATTTTCTCAGATTATATTACACTGGAATTACAATAAGAGAAGAAATAAAAGATCTGGAAGACATTTTAAATGATTTATTTCGTTGTAAAGTAACGTGCAAAAATACAGAGATAGACATGGTACAATTGAGCTATTTTCTCCGCTTCCATAATTTGATGGTACACTTTGGCTCGACTGGTATCAAAGATACAGTTGTATCCCTTTAAGTGCACATTCTCTATGTGCACAGTATATGAAAACTTCTTTAAGTGCACACCTCTTGGTCCCAAATAATATGCCAATTGTAAATTTTTACCCCTCTAAATGCACACCACCTCTATGTTCACATTTTTTGTTTTTTCATTACTATGGTCCTGAGGGCGTGCACTTAGAGGGGTGCGACTGTACTAATAAAGAATTAATTATAAAAATATCAATATTCTGCAAAATGCTTTAAATAAATAAAACTAAATAGTATGTATAAGATTATGTAATATGAAATTTTTAAAATTTGATCATTTGAAAATGTTATTAACTAGATATAATAATTTGTCATGATAGTCTAAATTTTACATTTCTATCAGTTGAGAGTGAACCGGTCCTGGAACAGAGCCAGTTTAGTGGAAACCTTGTCTAGCCCACAATCTGATATATGGACCTTGTCTTTGAACCAAACAAGAACAAAAGATTTAATGTCCTTAACACAATCTTGTTTGTTTTTTTACTATCACCAATCAACCACTTTATTAATCATAATCTTTTTACATAGATAGCAGAGTTCGTAAAAAAAAAAAAGTTTAAATAATTTTGCACCTATTTAAACAGATGATAGTTAAAAATTTGATTAGTTAAATTTAGGCCTAGATATTTACAGATCATAAACATCAATAGAATATAAAAAATCTTTGCTATCTTTAATAGCTAGCATTACGTTATTGAGTTTACAGTGTCAATATGCCATTTTCTAATTTAAGTTAAAAAAAATTTTTTTAGCCATAGTAAACTCGACTCGGGCCTAACGGACAAAACATAATCACTGATCAAAAATTAGAAATTATATAAAAAAATTAATTATAAGAGACCAAAACAATGAAAATTTTACCTGGTTTAAAATTCACTGGACTACATCTGGGGAAATTCGAAATATTTGTGATTTGGTAATTATTAAAAAATGAAAGGATGATATTTAATTCAGTATTATGCAATATTGGAATGGTGGTCAGGATTAAGAATATAGTTTGACGATTATAGTGCACAGAATTGGGAGAACATTTGCTGTTTAGCTTTGGACAGTGCATAAGTTATGCGCGATTAATGGTTTATTAAGGGATTCGGTTTAATGATAGTTGGAAATTAATGAAAGGTTTATTATTTATTTTATCGGATTATATGGGCTGCTGTCAATAGAAATCAGGCAGATTGACATTTTTTAAAAAATCTATACCTCAACTTTCATAGCTTATATCTCGATGAATTTGAAAGCTAGTTTGATGATTTAATATTCAAAAGAAAGATCAAGTTCTAAGCAGTCTTTTGAATATTTAATAATCAAAATCAGATCAAAATTCATCGATATATGAGCTGTGAAAGCCGAGGTATAGATTTTTTTTTAAAATGTCAATCTGTCTGATTTCTATTGACGGCGGCCCATATGTGTGATTCTTCTAACCCATAGATCTACATTTAATCCTTCGTCTAGTCTTCTTCAGATATTCCTATGCCTTTCCATTACTATTATTAATCTAACGATTATTATATTTATACAATTTACAATATTCCTATCCTTTACCCGATTTTAGATACATTCCATTATTAATCACGAAAATGAACAACTTATGTGATCATGAATCATACGATTATGATATAATTAGCACAATATTGTGCGATATGCAGTAGTACAAAATGCTTGTGCAACAAGCAATTACGTATATAATTCACTTTTATTGTATTCAATTCGAATATACGAACATTCTTGGGATATCATGTCAAATGAAAGAGGCTTTCCGGCCACTTACAATATTCCATATACAAAAATGTCAACAAATAACGTTATTTACAATGATAATGATCAAGTTTATAATGCTTCAAATCAAGCAGATTTACCGTTGCATGATTCACAAGATTTTCTAAATTGTGTTATTGAAGAATTATGTGATTTGTATAATAAAGAAGTTATGAAAGGAAATTATAATGATTCAATTATTTACTCAATAGAACAGCATTTTGTAAATAAACAGCAAAAACCAGAAGAAATAATCAACTTATTTTTAAATAACCAAACAAATCCTATTGTTCAAACTAATTCTATCATTCAACAAATTCTTGCAATTTGCTATCAGCTAGGAAAATGGATTAAAAATGATAATCACAAATCATTTATTCATTATCAAAAATCTGCAGATATGGGAAATTCTAATGGATTGCATGATGTTGGCTTTTGTTATAAATATGGAATCGGGGTTGAAAAAGACATTAATAAAGCATTCATTCATTATCAAAAATCTGCAAATATGAAAGATCCATATGGAATCAATTCTCTCGGTAATTGTTATCGAGATGGAATTGGTGTTGAAAAAGATATCAATAAGGCATTAAATCATTATCAAAAATCAGCTGAAATGGGTCATGCTATAGGAATGAATTATCTTGGATATTGTTATGAAAAGGGAATTGGTGTTGAAAAAGATGATCATAAAGCATTCATTTATTATCAAAAATCTGCTGATATGGGTAATTCTAGTGGAATGTATAGTATTGGATATTGTTACGAATATGGAATTGGCGTTGAAAAGAATGAACATATGGCATTTATTTATTATAAAAAAGCTGCTGATATAGGTTATGTTTACGGTGCAAATAATGTTGGATATTGTTATCGAAACGGAATTGGTGTTGAAAAAGATCAATTCAAGGCATTCATTTATTACAAAAGGTCCGCTGATTTGAATAATGCTTACGGAGCAAATGAAGTTGGATATTGTTATCGAAACGGAATTGGTGTTGAAAAAGATGAATATGAGGCATTCACTTATTACCAAAATTCTGCTGATATGGGTAGTGATGTTGGAACGTACAATCTTGGGTATTGTTATGAAAATGGAATTGGTGTTGAAAAGAATGAATATAAGGCATTTATTTATTATCAAAAATCTGCTAATATGGATAATATTGATGGTATATGTCAAGTTGGTTATTGTTATCTTTATGGAATTGGAGTTGGTAGGGATGAATATAAAGCATTTATTTATTATCAAAAATCTGCTAATTTGAAGCTAACGAAATAAGCAGTCTTGGATATTGTAATCAAATGGTTGGAGATGAAATGGAGAGGTGTAAGAGAATTAATGGGAGAGAGATTGCTATAGAAATTGAAATAAAAACTAAGAGATATCAATTTTTGGTACCAAAAGTAATAACATGATATTACCTATGCTTTAAATAATTACATTTTCATAACTACTATAGGTGCTTGAGTTGCTTAAAGGGAGTTAGAAACGAGTGTACTATATCTGATATTGTATTATGTAGTGCAAGGACTTCATATTGTGATTAAGCTCCATGGCAGTGCAAGGACCTCATGTGTATAGTCGCCATTAGTTTGAGACTGTCTAGGGTATTTTACCCACTATTTGAGACTGTCTACAATTTAGACCAATAGTTATAATTATTTGGGCGGCAACTATACTCATGTGATTAGGCTCTATGGCTACCGCAGGCAATGCAAGAGCCTCATGTTTGGTGATTGAACTCCCCTATAAAAAAAAAAAGTTCAAATTTTTATTACGGAAAATACTCATTATTTAAAATAATAATCTGAACAAAATCTGAATAAAATTTTAACTTTTTTTTTAATATGATCCACAACTATAATATCAGTACAAGGGTCTCACATCGCGATTAGGCTCCGTGGCTGCGGTAGCAATATAAGGACCTCATAGTGTGATTAGGCTACAATTATTCATAGTCAATTTTCCAAATATTGAGTGATTTTTTCTTTTTGAGCTTTTAATTAAAGTTGTACAGAATTAAATTCTATTCATCCCATCTAATAAGTGGAAAGAACGAAACTTTCTCTGGAACTAGGAATTTTAAAATTGTAACGTCATAGCCGATTAATAACCGGCGGCTAATAACAGGTTATAATGTTAACAAAATTTAAATTCTGAGTTCCAGAGAAGGTATCGTTCTTTCTGCTTATAATATGGGATGAACAGAATTTAATTCTGAGCAACTTTAATTAAAAGCTCAAAATCACCTCAGTATTTAGCAAATTGGCAATGAATAATCGTAGCCGTTTGTAGTCGAACCCATCCTTACTCACCTCCCTTTTATTGAAGCGAAATGATACTTTGGACCAATGCTGTGTACATGAATACTTTTTACTAAAATCTGCTATTCTAATATGTTCTTGAGAATCTAATTTCGACAAATTTAGATTAAAAGGAACAATATGATGCGAAATCGTACCGGGCTTAAATGACTAGGTGCAATTTCGCCCCAGATGCAAAATCGCCTCAGATGTAAAATCGCCTCAAGGTATGAAATTCCTATTTTTAGTAACATATACTGTTCCAACTTCGTAATAATAAAATAAACAATAACAATAATAATAGACAAAAAATAAAATAAAACAATATAAAAAAAAAAGAAAAATGTAGGATCGCAGTCACCCGGGCCCCTTTACAACGTACGTATGTACGTACAATAAGTAAATGGAGGTCTATCTGATAGAATTAAATGGTACTGATCACTGTTAGCTAATTACTCAATAATAACTGGCATACATTCAAGATGTACTATAAAAAGAAAATGTTATGTAAATAATAAGACACATGAGCGATGAACATAAAGTTTACTATTGTAAATGTACTTTTAGTATGCAAATTCAGAATAAAGTTACATAGCAATGCATACATCAAATTATGGAATCAAAAGTCGATTTAACTTATTGAATCTTATAAATACAACCCGAATATGATAAAAATTTTTTGGGGACGCAATGCAACGTTGCTCTGCTCATTATATATATAAGATCAAGATCAGATCAAGATAATATAAAAATTTTTCACTTCTGTTTTAGCCTAAAAGGAAATGTGGCGGATCACGAGTAAGGCCGCATCCAATAAATAAAATGTTTAGCGTCTAATCTTAAACTTTATTGGAAACGATCTACGCATGCAGACAAAGAAAGATTAGAGGAGTTAAATAAATGGTTATTAACGAAGAAATATTAGATTATCAATTAATTTAATTTTAGATGACTTTATTACTGATGAAAAACCATTCTTTTCAAATTAGTGTAGCTTCTTACGATTATTCATCATTTAGAAATCAGCAAAAATTTGCTTTTTTTTTTTTTTACGAATAAATCTAATTATAAACTGCACAGTAAAACCTCTATAAGTGCAACTTTGGACCAAATTTCAACAATGTGCACTTCATGAACAATAAAAAAAAAAAGGTTTTATAAAGGTCATATGTTGTATGTGGATACGGGATATCTATAGATTCGTAATCCACTTAAATGGATTTTGGAACTTGAAACAATTTAAACAGATTGAATATTTTAATAATAGAAAAAAATAATGTAGTACATTAGCATGAACTATACATATAAATTTTTTGCGTTTCGTAGTA